AGGTACACGACAGTACAGTATAATGTCGCTGTGTGTTTTTATACACGTACTGTACAGTGCGTGACAATGTGCAGTGCTGTCATCTGACACTCAGGTCTATCTGACAGTGATCGCCTACCTAAATCTTACCAGTAAGATTTGTCCAGGATACTTTACACTGTAGTCTGGCTGTCGCGTACAGTACATTGAACTGTAGATTGCAGTAGCATACTGTACTGTACTGTACTGTATGAGAGTTGCAGTTTCAATTGAAAACTTGAAAACTTCAACTGTATTTCCATATACTGTACTATTAGTAGTAGTAGTCATCGTCTTAACTCCTTCTCCCTCTCTCTTAATAGTCCCTACTCCCTACTCTTCACATAGCTATTCTGTCTCATAGTGTGATAAACCGTGTTCGCTTATCGACAGACATTATGTACAGTACAGTATAGCAATATACAGTATACTGTAGTACTGTAGAGACCCTTCTATTCTACAGTGTACACTACAGTACTCTACAGTACTAAACATGTCTCGGTAGTCGGTACCTACAGTACAGTACAGTACAGTACAGTACTGTACTGTATTGCCATATTCTGAGCATTTTGGAAAGGCCAGGACAGTGTGAGATCGAATATAAAGAAAACTACGGATGAAGGTTATGTAATAGTGTTGGATGGGATATTCTAGTGCTGATTGAGTACTATGACTACATGTATAGCTGCTGTTCGCCCAATTCTGTCTGTATACTAGACAGTACTAAACACCATCGCCAAACGTCCATAATACTGTATTGTCTTATTAGTTTTTATTACAAAGAAATGTACTGTAGAAGTTTTCTCGTACATTGCCCGGAGTGTCGGGCATTCTATAGATTGTCCGGGCATTCTATAGAATGCCCGAATCCTTACATTGAACGTGACTAGACCTGTCAGAGGTTCGGTTCGAACCGCATATGAACCGTCAGTTTATCCGGTTCGGTTCTCTAGAGTCGTTGTGCCCGTTCGGTTCAGGTTCGAATACTTGAAAACCGCGGTTCGAACCGAACGAACCGCTTAATGTTAACGTATTTATGTGATTTAGTATGACATTTCATATAAAACCTGTAGATTGTACCTGATGTTCATTTAGCTAGTGATCGGCCACGGTCGACTCGACTCGACTCGACTCGACTCGGCTGATGAGTCGAGCCGAGTCGCGCATTTTGAGTCGGACCACTGCTGTGTCTTTGAGCCAGAGCCATTCGGCTCCTGAGTCGATTGGTCCGACTCAGAGTCGACTTCGAGTCGTGGCTCTACAGTATAGTTAATACAGTCAGGG